AAAGCAAATGTGTTTATTACAGTGCTTACCTCCTTGCTCAGGGGCCAAGCAATGGGGAGAGAGAACAGAGGTGGCCTTAGGGGTGGGTGACATGGGCAATTGCCCAGTGTGCCATGGTGGGGGGGGGCAAACACATGCACATACACACATGTGTGAGCAGCCTGCACTTATAGCAGCTGTCTGCCCCCAGCCCTGCCCTGGCTAATTCCCCACCCCAGGCAGAAGTGGTACCCAGCCCAGCCCACCCTCGCTTCCAGCTGCTACTCAGGAGCAGCTGGGTTGGCAGGGTGTGTGTGTATGTGTGGTGGGGGGGAGGGGCAGGATGGCACCTACTCCTGCCCACCTACCTGCTTGACACACCATGCTGCTCCAACTCCCAGCTGCACTACGCCCCATGCCCCGGCCTCGCTGCTTGCCTCTGGCTCAGCCTGCAAGTTGGCACTGACGTTGGCGGGGGTGAGGGGGAGGAGGGAGGGGTGCCAGAATATAAGTGCGCCCAGGGTACCATTTTTCCTAAAGTTGGCTCTGGTAGGGAATCATGGAGAGCCTGAGCCTGCCCTTATCTTTTTATCTCCTCACACCTGGAGCCTGATCCTATCCTTATCTGCTTATCTTCTAACACTTCCTGCAGCACCCTTCAAAGGATCTCACAGCACTCTTGGGTGCTCCAGCATCCTGGATGAGAATCACTGGGCTAGAGAATGAGTGTAACTGATGTGTTTTATGGGGCGAAATGCAGAGAACAGGGAAACAGTGCAAATGGGGACAGCAAGATTCAATTAATAGTTTCCCTTTGTATGGTCTCAGGTGCAATCCATCCATCCAATCCATTTGGTGTTTTTATACAGTCCACCATTGTCAGATGAAGGTACTCTTGGGTCCTTTCTCTGTTCTGGCATGGATTCCCTATGTACCCTGCTCTGTGCCTCAGTTTCTCCATCTGTGAGACTGGGGAGGTGATCCTTCACTTACCTAAGGCCTCAGAGGATGGCTGTTGAGGATGCTGGGCAATAGGCCAGGTCCTCAGATGTGTAAATGGGCATTGAATTTGATGGAGGTACACCCATTTACAGCAGCTAAGGATCTGGTCCAAAGTGTGTAAAGGGTTGAGAGCTCAACAGAGACTTGGGAATCCAAGTGCCTCGCAGGTGTCTGGATCTGCTCCTCCGGAGGGAGGGGGAATCGTTGCCCAGCAGTTGCTCACTGGATGCCTGGTGCCTCCTGACAGAGCCTGAAGGGATGTCTCCTTTGACTGGCAGGCGCAGGGCAGACCAGTTCCTGCAACTCGCTGCCTCTGGACTGTTAATCAAGGGCTTTCAGGATATTAAAAAGTGAGCTCAGCAAACAGCCTCTGTTTGAGCACTGGGTGCCCCTGTGGGGGAGGGAATCCCATTAACCTTTGCAGTTGCCGCAGGCAGCCCCTGGGGCATCAGAGAGCTCTTTGCAGTGGGATTGAGCATCCCTGACGTGGACAGAATCATACAGTAAAGCCCCTGGGTGAGATCCGACCAGTTAACTCCATCATGGCCATTCAGATAGCAGGCTCCTCTGCTGGGCAGCCCCAGATTGGGGCAGCATGGTCCAGTGCAGGGCTGTCTAATTTCTGAGTGGCTGCAGACTGTACACCTTCCTGGGGTGCATGACATGTGGGCTTCCCTTTGTGTGCCACCACAGGGACCCTCCACAGCACTTCCTTGTGTTGTGTGGGGGTTCCCGGCTCCCTCAAGCCCTGTGGGCCCTACCACATCATCCTGTCCTGCCCCCAGGGGTGGGGGTAGGAAGCAGAAGGTCAAGGGGGAGCCCAGAGACCCTGGTGACAGCAGCAAGAGAGTGATGGCAGGAGCAGCACCTGGACTGTGAACCTGGGGGCCATGAGTTAACCACTTTCAAGCCACATGTGACTGTAGGCAACCAGTTGGACAGCCCTGGTGTGGTTTACAAGCCACTGGGCTGGGAGTCCAAGAGTGCAAGGTAAAATCCCAGCTCTTTGGAAGTCAAAGGGAGCATTTTTCATTGATTTAATGGGGCCAGGAACACATCCTTGGGGTCCATTCCTGACTCTGCTGCTAATCACTGTCTCTGTTTCACTTCTCAACCTTGCTCTGGAGGGTCTAAGGCAGGCGGGGTGCAATTATTTTGGGCGGAGAGCTGCTTACTGAGTTTTGGCAAGCCATCAAGTCAGTCTCACCTCCATCCTTGGCAAAATCTTTGAAAAAATTATCAAGGCTCACACATGCGAGAGCCCGGCAGGACAAATTATGCTGAGGGGAAACCAGCACGGGTTGGTGGCAGGCAGATCGTGCCTGACTAATCTGGTCTCTTTTTATGACCAGGTTACAAAACGCCTGGACACAGGAGGAGGGGTGGATGTCGTATACTTAGACTTCAGGAAGGCCTTCGATACGGTATCCCACCCCATTCTGGTGAACAAGTTAAGAGGCTGTGACTTGGATGACTACACAGTCCGGTGGGTGGCGAATTGGCTAGAGGGTCGCACCCAGAGAGTGGTGGTGGATGGGTCGGCTTCGACCTGGAAGGGTGTGGGCAGTGGGGTCCCGCAGGGCTCGGTCCTTGGACCGATACTCTTTAATGTCTTCATCAGCGACTTGGACAAGAGAGTGAAGTGTACTCTGTCCAAGTTTGCAGATGACACAAAGCTATGGGGAGAAGTGGACACGCCGGAGGGCAGGGAACAGCTGCAAGCAGACCTGGACAGGTTAGACAAGTGGGCAGAAAACAACAGAATGCAATTCAACAAGGAGAAATGCAAAGTGCTGCACCTAGGGAGGAAAAATGTCCAGCACACCTACAGCCTAGGGAATGACCTGCTGGGTGGCA